TGGAGGGGCCTGGGAGGAATAGAAAATGATTTAGGGGAGATCTAGTTCACCTACATACGGAGAGCACTGTGAACCCAAACGGCTGTGCATTTGGACCAAACTTGGTACAAATACTCAATATGCCCAAATATGAACACTGGTGTAGTTTGGAGAAAACAGATCTTGACATGTGGGAGTTGCAGTTGCTGGGATGTATAGTTCCCCTGCCATCAAAGAGCATTCTGAACTCCAACAACAATGGAATTGAACCAAACTTGGCACACAGAACTCCCATTACCAACAGAAAATACAGGGAGGGTTTGGTGGGCATTGACCTTGAGTTTGGGAGCTGTAGTTCACCTACATGCAGAGAGCACTGTGGACTCAAACAATGATTGATCTGGACCAAACTTGGCATCAATACTCAATATGCCTAAATGTGAACACTGATGGAGTTTGGGGAAAATATACCTTGACCTTTGGGAGTTGTAGTTGCTGGGATTTATAGTTCACCTACAATCAAAGAGCATTCTGAACTCCAACAACAATGGAATTGAACCAAACTTGGCACAAAGAACTCCCATGACCAACAGAAAATACTGGAAGGGTTTGGTGGGCATTGACCTTGAGTTTGGGAGCTGTAGTTCACCTACATGCAGAGAGCACTGTGGACTCAAACAATGATTGATCTGGACCAAACTTGGCATCAATACTCAATATGCCTAAATGTGAACACTGATGGAGTTTGGGGAAAATAGACCTTGACATTTGGGAGTTGTAGTTGCTGGGATTTATAGTTCACTACAATCAAAGAGCATTCTGAACTCCACCAATGATGGAACCAAACTTGGTCTACAGAACTCCCATGACCAAGAAAATACTGGAAGGGTTTGGTGGGCATTGACCTTGAGTTTTGGATTTGTAGTTCACCTACAATCAAAGAGCATTCTGAACCCCACCAACAATGGAATTGAACCAAACTTGGCACACAGTTCTCCCACGACCAACAGAAAATACTGGAAGAGTTTTTGGGGAAAATAAACCTTGGCATTTGGACGCTACTGGGATGTATAGCTCCCCTGCCATCAAGGAGTATTCTGATCTCCAGCATAAATAGCGAGGGCCGGGCAGAAAGGCTGCCCGCACGACCTTGCCGTTTGGGCAGTCCTCCGCCTGGCCCCCGTGCCCTTCTGAGCTGGGGCCAAGCGGAGGGGCTGACCAGGAGTGCTAACTTTTTGTCTGGCACAGGGGGTCGGCAGCCAAAGGTAGCTTCACGACCCCCGAAAATGGCCCAACAACCCCTCTGGTGGTCATGACCCCCAGGTTGAGAACCGCTGGTTTAATAAGTATGTGAAGCCACCATGTCTCACCCTTTTCTTTTGCCTTTCGTTTCTAGCCATGGAAGGCGTGCCTTTTATGATCTCGGAGAAGTTCGCCTGTGCTTCCGAAGGGGTGAGTTTCCTCCAGTTCCTTGGTTTGCTGTGAAAGACAACCCATCTTGGGAAAACTTTAATTTATCTTTTGAAAAGGGCGGGAGGATGGGTTTGTTATGTGGATGGGTGTCGTAGTGTTACAAGAGCTTGAGCTTTCTCTACCAAAGAGTGCAAGTTTGCCTCTCCAAATGACAAATTCCGGGATTCCTCTGCTCTTAACCCTAGTCGAACGATACCGTTTTCAATGCCATGGTGCAATGCTATGAAATTACGGGAGGTATAATAATATTCCACTTTATCTCCCCAAAGGGTCTCAGGGCGGATTCCGAACATAAAAGGCAAACATTCAAGGCCTGAATACAAAAACAGTACTTACTTACTTACTTACTTACTTAGGCAATCCCTCGTAGTCCGAGGATGATGGTCCTCCAAGTGTAGTATCCTAGCGGTGGGTTCGTAGGTGACTGTGGAGCCCTATTCTTGATCTGCATCTTCTCCCGCAGTGAGGGCATTGGTTTCCAGGTGGAAGGCGGTCCCGGTTGGAGTTGGATTGACGTGTCTTCCTCTTGGCACATTTCTCTCTTTCGCCCTCCATTCGTGCCTCTTCAAATTCTGCAGCACTGCTGGTCACATCTGACCTCCAGCTGGAGTGCTCAAGGGCCAGGGCTTCCCAGTTCTCAGTGTCTATGCCAGAGTTTTTAAGCCCATCTTTCAATCTCTTTTCCTGCCCAACAACATTCCGTTTTCCATTCTTGAGTTCGGAGTAGAGCAACTGCTTTGGGAGACGGTGGTCGGGCATCCGGACAACGAAGTTGATGGTGGAGGAGCATGGCTTCAATGCTGGTGGTCTTTGCTTCTTCCAGCACTCTGACATTTGTCTGCTTGTCTTCCCAAGAGATTTGCAGGATTTTTCGGAGGCAGCACTGATGGAGTCATTCCAGGAGTTGCATGTGACGTCTATAGACTGTCCATGTTTCACAGGCGTATAGCAGTGTTGGGAGGACAATAGTTTTATAAACAAGCACCTTGGTATCCCTACGGATGCCCCGGTCCTCAAACACTCTTTGCTTCATTGGAAAAATGCTGCACTCGCAGAGCTCAGGTGGTGTTGAATTACAACAACAATCCATTCATATTAACAAAATTTATACAATCCAACATATAAATACGAATTATAACTTAACTAAAAAATAAATAAAAAGCACAGCCTGTTATAACGGACATAAGACAAAACATCAGACATCAAATGGAAACAATAATTTCCCATTTCTTTGGGGCAAATTGATTAATCATTGCTCAAGATATCTATTGAGCTGGTGGGGTGAGCAGGACATGGATATGGATCAGAATTAGAATGGTAGTCTTACCAACTACGATTCTTCCTCCTCGTAAGCATTAATTAAAACAATAAAAACTATCATCAACTGTATCGCCATTCCAGTCAATTTCCAATCAAAGTGCTGTCCAAAAGCCTGATCCCACAACCACGATTTTACTTTCTTCCTGAAAGACAGGAGGGATGAAGCTGATCTTATCTCGTTTGGGAACGTGTTCCACAGGCGGAGGGCCACAGCCGAGAAGGCCCTGTCTCTCGTCCCCGCCAGACGCATTTGCGATCTTGGCGGGAGCTAGAGCAGGGCCTCCTCGGATGATTTTAAGTTATGAGGTGGGACGTAGAGGAAGATGCGTTCGGACAAGTAAGTTGGGCGAGAACCGTATAGAGCTTTATAAGTCAAAACCAGCACTTTGAATTGTGCTCGGAAGTGGACCGGCATCCAGTGGAGCTGGCATAATATGTTGCTCCAGTTATGTTGCTCCAGTTAGTAATCTGGGTGCTACCTATTAGACTAACTGAAGTTTCTGAAGGCTAACTGGGCCAAAACTAACAAAATGAAGTTCAACAGTGACAAATGCAAGATACTCCACTTTGGCAGGAAAAACAAAATGCAAAGATATAGAATGGGGGATGCCTGGCTCGAGAGCAGTGTGTGAAAAAGATCTTGGAGTCCTCGTGGACAACAAGTTAAACATGAGCCAACAATGTGATGTGACAGCAAAAAAGCCAATGGGATTTTGGCCTGCATCAATAGGAGCATAGTGTCTAGATCTAGGGAAGTCATGCTACCCCTCTATTCTGCTTTGGTTAGACCACACCTGGAATATTGTGTCCAATTCTGGGCACCACAATTCAAGAGAGATATTGACAAGCTCGAATGTGTCCAGAGGAGGGTGACTAAAATGATCAAGGGTCTGGAGAACAAGCCCTATGAGGAGCGGCTTAGAGAGCTGGGCATGTTTAGCCTGAAGAAGAGAAGGCTGAGAGGAGATATGATAGCCATGTATAAATATGTGAGAGGAAGCCACAGGGAGGAGGGAGCAAGCTTGTTTTCTGCTTCCTTGGAGACTAGGACACGGAACAATGGCTTCAAACTACAAGAGAGGAGATTCCATCTGAACATTAGGTAGAACTTCCTGACTGTGAGAGCCGTTCAGCAGTGGAACTCTCTGCCCCGGAGTGTGGTGGAGGCTCCTTCTTTGGAAGCTTTTAAGCAGAGGCTGGATGGCCATCTGTCAGGGGTGATTTGAATGCAATATTCCTGCTTCTTGGCAGAATGGGGTTGGACTGGATGGCCCATGAGGTCTCTTCGAACTCTTTGATTCTATGATTCTATTATCTAAATCAAAGGCAGCCCCGCATAGCATGCATTGCAGTAATCTATTTGGGATGTAACCAGAGTGTGGACGACCATAGCCAGATCAGACAGCCAATGGAAGGTGTTGTCAATCTGCATTGATTTGGCTGTGTTGATGCACCAGAAAACAGCAGAGCATTTATTTTTTTTCTTCTCCCCAGCTTTTAAAAATTAATTTTATGTATGACTTTTTTCTACTAGAAGTATAAAGCAAGCACTTGCTGACCTTTACCCCCCCCCCCCCGTTGTTGCCATGGCGATGCTGGCCATCCTCCAGCTGCCGCGGAGAGGGAGACTGCGCCAGCCCTGTTTACCAATTCCGCTCTAGGAAGTTGAGAGGTCGTTATGTCCTAATGAGGCAGCAGATGGACCGCGGCTGGAGTCCGGGCGGCAGGAGCGCGGCCTGGAGGAAAACCTCTTCAATCTTTGCTCCTCCGTTGCCTCCGCTGTCCCAGCCTGGCTTGAGAGGGACATCCGTGCCAGGAAAGGGCAGCGGCGGTTGGAAGGCTGGCACGGCTCTTCCCGAGAAGGAAGTGACCTTGGAGGGGCTTCAACTTTGCTAGGTCCACCACCACCACCATAGTCATCCTCCATGCTTGGGACCAGAAGTATTTTGTATTTCAGATTTTTCTCTTCTTACTTTGGAACACAGCCATCCTTCCACCTTCGTGGGGGTCAGTGCTACTCGACCCCCGTGAAAGTGAAAAACTGCAAATTATAAAATTGCTGCTGGAGAGAAACCCTCTCTAGGAACATCTACCTCTTCCAGCATGACTTTATGATCATGTTGTCCGGATGCCCGACCACCGTCTCCCAAAGCAGCTGCTCTACTCCGAACTCAAGAACGGAAAACGGAACGTTGGAGGACAGGAAAAGAGATTGAAAGATGGGCTCAAAGCCAACCTTAAAAACTCTGGCATAGACACTGAGAACTGGGAAGCCCTGGCCCTTGAGCGCTCCAGCTGGAGGTCAGCTGTGACCAGCAGTGCTGCAGAATTTGAGGAGGTACGAGTGGAGGGTGAAAGAGAGAAACGTGCCAGGAGGAAGGCGCGTCAAGCCAACCCCGAGGACCGCCTTCCACCTGGAAACCAATGCCCTCACTGCGGAAGAAGATGCAGAGCAAGAATAGGGCTCCACAGCCACATACGGACCCACAAGAATATTGGAAGACAATCATCCTCGGAAAGCGAGGGATCGCCTAAGTAAGTAAGTATGATCAACACCCACTGGATTGTACTAGAGAACCTAGCAATTCCTACAGAGGTGTTCTCTCTACGACTCTCTAGATCAGTGGTTCTCAATCTTCCAAGTACCACGACCCCTTAATAGAGTTCCTCATGTTGCGGTGACCCCCAACCATAACATTATTTTCATTGCTACTTCATAACTGGAATTTTGCTACTGTTATGAATCGTCATGTAAATATCTGACATGCAGGATATATTTTCATTCACTGGACAAAATTTCGCACAAACACCCGATTCACCCAAATTTGAATACTGGTGGGGTTGGGGAATTGATTTTGTCATTTGGGAGTTGTAGTTGCTGGGATTTATAGTTCATCTACAATCAAAGAGCATTCTGAACTCCACCAATGATGGAATTGAACCAATCTTGGCACACAGAACTTTCCTGAGCAAGAAAAAAAATACTGGAATGATTTGGTGGGCATTGGCCTTGGGTTTGGGAGTTGTAGTTCACCTACATCCAGAGAGCACTGTGGACTCAAACAATGATGGATCTGGACCAAACTTGGCACGAATAATCCATATGCCCAAATATGAGCACAGATGACATTTGGGGGAAATAGACCTTGACATTTGAGAGTTGTAGTTGCTGGGATTTGTAGTTCACCTACAATCACCTACAATCACCTACTGAGCTTCTCACCTCATTAGAGGGACTCAGCCCGGTTTCCAACCATAAAAACACATACAATTGGTAAAATGTCAAAGTACATAATTACAATAAAACACTGGAAAAGCACATATATTTAAAACTACAGTGGTCAGTCGTCATACTAAAATCGAATATACACCATCTTCCATCCAGATCGTTGTCTCATTCTTCGAAAGCCTGTCTCCACAACCACGACTTCACCTGTTTCCTGAATGTCAGGATTGTTGGGGCGGTTCTGACCTCAGGCGGGAGAGAGTTCCAGAGTCACGGGGCCACCACCGAGAAGGCCCTGTCCCTCGTCCCCACCAGCCGCACTTGTGAGGCTTTATTGAAGAATCTATATAGGCAAAGCCGTAAAAATAGCAAAAACTGTAAAGATTTGATATAAGTAAAATAGTCCCAAACCTCAAAGGAAAACAAGATACAAAAGTACATAAAATCCATGGAATTAGGTCCTTGCAACCATGAAACTAGATAGCAGGAAAAATCTCATAAACAAAACGGGAGCTTGGCAAGAACTTAGTACATGAAACTAAGAGCACTTGAAAACAAAACAACAATCAATTTCCAATGTTGACCCAAATGAGGCAACACTTTTCCATGCATCAATATGAAGTTTTCCCAGGTTCTGAAACTGAAAGGAAAGTGTTTCTCTTGGCCTTGCTACCAGATAACTGTTTGTTATCATTTTTCTGCTGTAAGCAAATAACATCTGAGTCTTCGCAGACTCTGTCTCTGTTTACAGAAACTTTGCTTTCTGTCTATCAGCTCTCTCTGAGCTCTCATTATTTTCTGCACCTGACAAATGATCTTCAGATGGTTGTTCTGAGAAAGGCTGTGAAGGGCCCCTCTCAAGAATATGGCCTTGGGAATTGTCCTCTTCTTGAAACAGCTCAGGCCTCTCGTCTGAGCTTAACTCAGGCCCAAGCAAACTCTCATCCCCAAAGCCACCATCAGGAACATCATCCCCATTCCCATCATGAACATCAGCATTAACATGAACATCATAGAATCATAGAATCTAAGAGTTGGAAGAGACCTCATGGGCCATCCAGTCCAACCCCCTGCCAAGAAGCAGGAACATCGCATTCAAATAACCCCCGACAGATGGCCATCCAGCCTCTGTTTAAAAGCTTCCAAAGAAGGAGCCTCCACCACACTCTGGGGCAGAGAGTTCCACTGCTGAACGGCTCTCACAGTCAGGAAGTTCTTCCTCATGTTCAGATGGAATCTCCTTCCTTGTAGTTTGAAGCCATTGTTCCGCGTCCTAGTCTCCAGGGAAGCAGAAAACAAGCTTGCTCCCTCCTCCCTGTGGCTTCCTCTCACATATTTATACATGGCTATCATATCCCCTCTCAGCCTCTTCTTCAGGCTAAACATGCCCAGCTCCTTAAGCCGCTCCTCATAGGGCTTGTTCTCCAGACCTTTTATCATTTTAGTCGCTCTCCTCTGGACACATTCCAGCTTGTCAATATCTCTCTTGAATTGTGGTGCCCAGAATTGGACACAATATTCCAGATGTGGTCTAACCAAAGCAGAATAGAGAGGTAGCATTACTTCCTTAGATCTAGACACTATGCTCCTATTGATGCAGGCCAAAATCCCATTGGCTTTTTTTGCCGCCACATCACATTGTTGGCTCATGTTTAACTTGTTGTCCACAAGGACTCCAAGATCTTTTTCACACGTACTGCTCTCAGACACAATCACAGGCTGAGCAGGCTGACATGCAACATCACCATCAATTTGTACACATCTGAGCCATTGTTTTACTCAGGCATCAAAACCATTTGGGAAAAATTCAGGGTTTTGCTTCCTGACCCATGATTTTAAAGCTGTTTTAATGTCATTCGTTGAATCTGAACCCACATAGGTTGTCTTTCAGAGGTCCAAACAGGTAAAAGTTAGAAAGGACCAAATCATAAGCATTCTTCAAGCGATTTTGGATTTCCTTAGGTGCACAACTTTCTTTGGCCAGAAATTCAATGACGACTCTTACTTTTAGCTTCAGATTCATGGTTCTAGTCAGTCAATTGGAACAAGAAAAGACTCTTATCAGTAGAGTAAGGTTCCCTCTATCACAGTGGTTCTCAACCTTCCTAATGCCATGACCCCTTAATGCAATTCCATATGTTGTTGTGACCCCCAACCATAATATTGTTTTCGTTGCTACTTGATACCTGTCATTTTACTACTGTTATAAATCATAATGTAATATCTGATATGCAGGATGCATTTTCATTCACTGGACCAAACTGGACACAAATACCCAATACACCCAAATGTGAATGCTAGTGGGGTTGGGGGAGGATTGATTTTGTAATTTGGGAGTTGTAGTTGCTGGGATTTATAGTTCACTTATAATCAAAGAGCATTCTGAACTCCACCAGTGATGGATTTGAACCAAACTTGGCTCCAATGACCAATGGAAAACACTGGAAGGGTTTGGTGGGCGTTGACCCTGAGTTTTGGAGTTGTAGTTCACATATACCCAGAGAGCACTGTGGACTATTGCAATGATGGATCTGGACCAAACTTGGCACAAATACTCAATATGCCCAAATGTGAACCCTGGTGGAGTTTGGGGAAAATAGACCTTGACATTTGGGAATTGTCGTTGCTGGGATTTATAGTTCACCTACAATCAAAGAGCGTTCTGAACCCCACCATCGACAAAATCGGGCCAAACTTCCCACAGAGAACCCCCATGACCAACAGAAAATACTGTTTTTTTCCTGGTGGTCTTTGGCGACCCCTCTGACACCCCCTCGCAACCCACCCAGGGGTCCTGACCCCCAGGTTGAGAAATGCTGCTCTATCATATCATGCATAGACAGTCCAGTAGCTGTGGAAGTAAGAGAAGTTAGAGCAATGGAGGCATTCCTTTTTGACCCATCCTCGTATTTCTATAATCATTCTATAATCATTCCCCAGCCTCAAATAAAGTGATCTCGGGCCTCACCCCACCCCTCGCTTTTGGGTTAGGGCCCAAAGATTTCAGGGAACCAACAATGGTTTTCCTTGGCCCGAGCATTCGCTGAAAATCTCCAGACATCCTGGGGTGTCTGGAGAGAATTCCACATCAGCTTGGCCGAATACCAGGAGAGATTACGGCCCTCCTAATCCCCCCTAAGAGTCTTAAAATGCTCTTGCCGACGTAAGAACCCTGGGATTCACCTTCTCAGGGAGAGTTTGTCTCGATGTGCTTCTTATCCCTTGCTAGCCATTTGCCGGTAGTCTTTTGGGATGTATCTGCACTATAGACGTAATGCAGTTGACACTACTTGACCTGCCATGGCTAAAGGCTCTGGAATCCTAGAAGTTGTAGTTTGGAGAGGCACCAGCACTTTTAAGCAGAGAAAGCAAAAAACATAGTCAAACTATGATATCCAGGATAATAATAATAATAATAATAATAACAACAACAACAACAACAACTGGGTTGTTGTAGGTTTTTTCGGGCTATATGGCCATGGTCTAGAGGCATTTTCTCCTGACGTTTTGCCTGCATCTATGGCAAGCATCCTCAGAGGTAGTGAGGTCTGTTGGAACTAGGAAAAGGGTTTATATATCTGTGGAATGACCAGGGTGGGACAAAGGACTCTCACATTTGCATGTTTTTGGGCTGCTAGGTTGGCAGGAGCTGGAGCTGATGAATGGGAGCTCGCCATGTCTCAGGTCAGCAGTACAGCCAACTTTCAGGTCAGCAGTTCAAGGGTTTAACCCATTGCACCACCGCAGCTCCTATAAGGATGCCATTGCATTGAGCCATGCCAGTATGCTTCTTATGTATCATATTATGTATTACAAAATATCCAAAAAATGTTTTCTGTGAGTTTGTATTTCTGAAATAGATGTCCTTAGGTAGCTAAACGAGCACGTCCTTCTTTCCTGAAGCCCATTTTCCCATTGACCAATGTGGACCTTTCCTCCTAGGTGAAGCCGGTCGATCTCCTAGGGATCACAATTAAATCCTTGGCAGAAATCGAAAAGGAGGTATGTTGTGTTACAAAAGTGTTGTATTCTCCCATTTGGGATTTTGCATCCAAAGAGTTCCATCTTTGCCTGAAATTCCATACCATATCCTATCACCAGAAACATTACCTTCTGCAACAGCTGTGAAGGAATGCAAAAAGTGTTCTGTGAACTCTTTTCATCATTTTGTCCCAACTGGCATTGAGTCTCTGAGGCCAAAAAAACTACGTAATAGAAGGAGATACCACAAAGCCAGGATGCTTTAGTTTCAAAGGGGCAACATGTAATTTTTGTAAACTTCCTCCATGCATAGATCTGCAGGTCATAAGTAAAGGTAAAGGTTTTCCCCAGACATTAAGTCCAATCGTGTCCAACTCTAGGGGTTGGTGCTCATCTCCATTTCCAAGCAGAAGAGCCGGCGTTGTTCCTAGACACCTCCAAGGTCATTTGGCCAGCATGACTTCATGGAGCACTCTTACCTTCCTACCGGAGCGGTACCTATTGATTTACTCAATCTGGGGACCCTTTTCCCAGTGAAGAGAAAGGGGGCCAGGGGACAGTTCTATCTTGGCTCCTATGCTATGCTACTAATATAAAATAATGTAATATATTGTATATACATATAATATTTATAATATTATAATGTAATGCAATATAATACTACTAATAATAATATGATATTATAGTTATATATTTATATTGCATGTAATATTACTAATAATATTATAATAGTACTAGCTGTGCCCTGCCACGCGTTGCTGTGGCCTATAGTAAAACTTATCAAAGTTGAGGTAGATATATGGACTATTATGAAAGAGAGGTACCTACCTATTCCTTCCCCCTTTTCCTCCCCCTTTCTCTCCTTTCTTCCTTCTCTACCTCTTTCTTTCTTTCCTTCTTTCATCCTTCTCTCTTTCCTTCATTCCCTCCCCCTTCCTTTGCCTTTCTTCCCTCCCTGTTTGCTTCCTTCTTTCACTTTTTTTTTCCTTTTATTTCACCACCATCATAACAATAACAATAATGCAATGCATTGCCTCTGGGACCTGACACCTCTCCCATTCCCCCTAAAAGGGTCTCATAGGAACAATAGCATATAATAATAATATAATAATAGAAATAACAACCTTTACCCGCCACGTGTTGCTGTGGCCAATCTTCCCTCTTTCTCTCCTTCTTTCCCTCCTTCCTTCCTTCCTTCCCTCCCATCTTTCCTTCTCCTCTTCTTTCTCTATCTCTTTCTTTCCTTCCCCCTTTCTTTTCTGCTGTCTCTCTTTTCTTTCCTTCCATCTTTCCTTTCTTTCCTTTTCTTCTTCCTTCTTTCTCTAACTTTCCTTCCTTCCCCCTTTTTCTTTACCTCCCTTTCTCTTTCTTACTTCTTTCCTTCCTTCCTGTCTTTCCTAGATTTTGACAGGGCGGGAAGGGGCGGGGTGGGGTTTGGAGGTGGTGTGAAGTAAAAGGAGGTAAGATTGGGGCGGGGGAGTGATGGAGCGTGGGGTTGTGTGTGTGTGTGCGGCGGCGGGGGGAGGAGTGATGGAGCGTGGGGTTGTGTGTGTGTGTGCGGCGGCGGGGGGAGTGGGGTCGCGTGTGTGCGTGCGGCGGCGGGGGGAGTGTGGTTTGGGGGTGCGTGTGTGCGTGCGGCAGCGGGGGAGTGTGGAGGGTGGGGTTGCGTGGGTGTGTGGCGGCGGGGGGGGGGGGGAGTGATGGAGCGTGGGGTTGCGTGTGTGTGTGCGGCAGCGGGGGAGTGATGGAGTGTGGGGTTGCGTGTGTGTGTGCGGCGGCGGGGGGAGTGGGGTTGCGTGTGTGTGCGGCGGCGGGGGGAGTGATGGAGTGTGGGGTTGTGTGTGTGTGTGCGGCAGGGGGGGTGGTGTGTGCGGGAAGCGGCGCGGCGGGGCTTGGAGTGGGCATGGTTTCCGCAGAGGGAACGTTGGCCGGAAGGGCATGTGCGCGCGCCAGGGAACTTGCGGCTGGGCGCCAATGCGCATGCTCAGTTGTTTTGCCGTTTTGTGAGTGTGTTGTTGTGTTGTTTTTCATTTTGAGTAGATACGTTTGTACCTTGTGGGTTGTGTTATGGGCATGGGAATTTTGGTTAAGTTTCGTTGGGGTTTTTTTGAGTTTTGTTTTTTTGCCGTTTTGAGTGTGTTGTTGTGTTGTTTTTCATTTTGAGTAATATGTTTGTACCTTGTGGGTTGTGTTATGAGCATGGGAATTTTGGTTAAGTTTCGTTGTTTTTTTATAGAGTTTTATCCTTTTGCCGTTTTGTGAGTGTGTTGTTGTGTTGTTTTTCATTTTGAGTAGATATGTTTGTACCTTGTGGGTTGTGTTATGGGCACGGGGATTTTGGTTAAGTTTCGTTTTGGGATTTTTGAGTTTTGTTGTTTTGCCATTTTGGATGCCCCTAACAAATTTATATATATAGATAATACAATATAGTAATATTTAATACTGATATTGTACTATGCTAATAATATAGTATATTGTATGTGTATGTATGTGTATATATATATATATATATAGCTTGTAAGCCACTCTGAGTCCCCTTCGGGGTGAGAAGGGCGGCATATAAATGTTGTAAATAAATAAATACTCACATTTGCATGTTTTCGAACTGCTAGGTTGGCAGTTGGGGCTAACAGCGGGAGCTCACCCGCTGTTAATACAATATAGTAATATTTAATACTGATATTGTACTATGCTAATATATATATATATATATATATATATATATATATATATATATCTTGTAAGCCGCTTTGAGTCCCCTTCGGGGTGAGAAGGGCGGCATATAAATGTTGTAAATAAATAAATACTCACATTTGCATGTTTTCGAACTGCTAGGTTGGCAGAAGCTGGGGCTAACAGCGGGAGCTCACCCACTGCTAATAATATTACAATATAATAGTAATATTTAATACTGATATTGTACTATGCTAATAATATAGTATATTGTGTGTGTGTGTGTGTGTGTATGTATATATATATATATATATATATATATATTAAGCCACTCTGAGTCCCCTTTGGGGTGAGAAGGGTGGCATATAAATGTTGTAAATAAATAAATACTCACATTTGCATGTTTTCGAACTGCTAGGTTGGCAGTTGGGGCTAACAGCGGGAGCTCACCCGCTGTTAATACAATACAATATAATAGTAATATTTAATACTGATATTGTACTATGCTAATAATATAGTATATTGTGTGTGTGTGTGTGTGTGTATGTGTGTGTATATATATATATATATATATATATATATATCTATAGTAAGCCACTCTGAGTCCCCTTCGGGGTGAGAAGGGCGGCATATAAATGTTGTAAATAAATAAATACTCACATTTGCATGTTTTCGAACTGCTAGGTTGGCAGAAGCTGGGGCTAACAGCGGGAACTCACGCCGCTCCCCTGATTCGAACCTGTCATAAGGAGGGGAAAATAGTCAAAACATGGTCAAAGAAATCACGCCTCTCAAGAATTAGGAAACCCTTAGAAGAAGAGTCTCAGAATAGTGAGAATTTTCAAAATTTTAGGTGACATCTGCGTAAAATTCACATGTGTGTGTTTTGTGCAGGAAATAATATTTTTTCTGCAATTACCGTATATACTCGACTATAAGCTGGGTTTTTCAGCCTTTTTTCATGCTGAAAAACCTCCCCTCGGCTTATATTTGGGTCAGGGTCCTGGCGGGAGTGTGTCGGGCTGAAAGAAGAGCCCTTTCCCCATGTCTTCCCACCAGGATCCTCACCACTCCTCCTCCCTCACTTCCTTTGCTCCTTTCCTTCCTCTGATCCTGCAGGAGAGCAAGGCCGTAGATAAGCCCCACAGCCACAGCTCCCTCCTCCGCCGAGGAATGTTTGGGGGAATCTTTTTCTTCTTGGGTGATCCCTCGTAGTTTGAGTAAGATTGTCATCCAAAATCGGTGCACTGGCAGTGGTTCCATAGGTGACTGTGGAGCCCTATTCTTGACCTGCATGTTCTCCCACAGTGAGGGCGTCGGTTTCCATGTGGAAGGCAGTCCCGGTTGGTGTTGGCTTGACATGCCTTCCTCTTGGCACGTTTCTCTCTTTCGCCCTCCATTCATGCCTCTTCAAATTCTACAGCACTGCTGGTCACAGCTGACCTCCAGCTGGAGCACTCAAGGGCCAGGGCTTCCCAGTTCTCAGTGTCTATGCCAGAGTTTTTAAGGTTGGCTTTGAGCCCATCTTTCAATCTCTTTTCCTGTCCACCAACATTCCATTTTCCGTTCTTGAGTTCGGAGTAGAGCAACTGCTTTGGGAGACGGTGGTTGGGCATACGGACAACGTGGCCGGTCCAGCGGAGTTGATGGCGGAGGACCATCGCTTCAATGCTGGTGGTCTTTGCTTCTTCCAGCACGCTGACATTTGTTCACTTGTCTTCCCAAGAGATTTGCAGGATTTTTCGGAGGCAGCACTGATAGCAAACAAACTAGTCCAATGTGGGCTAGGCAAAACTACAGTGAGGTGGATCTGTAATTGGTTAAATGGATGAACCCAAAGGGTGATTCTCCCCAAGGCTTCCTCTTCATCCTGGAAAAAAGTGACGAGTGGAGTGCCATCAGCAGGGTTCCATCCTGGGCTCGGTCCTGTTCAACATCTTTATTAATGACTTAGATGAAGGGCTAGAAGGCAGATCATCAAGTTTGCAGACGACACCAAATTGGGAGGGATAGCCAATACTCCAGAGGACAGGAGCAGGATTCAAAATGATCTTGACAGATTAGAGAGATGATTGGCCAAAACTAACAAAATGAAGTTCAACGGGACAAATGCAAGATACTCCACTTTGGCAGAAAAAACGAAATGCAAAGTTACAGAATGGGGGACAATGCCTGGCTCAAGAGCAGGACGTGTGAAAAAGATCTTGGAGTCCTCGTGGACAACAAGTTAAACATGAGCCAACAATGTGATGTGGCGGCAAAAAAAGCCAATGGGATTTTGGCCTGCATCAATAGGAGCATAGTGTCTAGATCTAGGGAAGTCATGCTACCCCATCTATTCCGCTTTG